ACACACACATACTATATATATATATATATATATATATATATATATATATATATATATATATATATATATATATATATTATAATATATATATAAATATTGTAAACCTGCAACACCATTTTTCCTACATTGCAGGATCAGCCACCGTCACACCCAGATGGCGCACGCTGCTTAACCCCCACGCACCGTTTCAACTGCTGTATGTACTGCGCATAGCAGCGCTACTGCTGACCTCTGGAGACAGGAACGACATGTCTATCCACGATGCAGATACTATGGATACTGGTGATGGTGTGTATTATCGAAAAGGCATATGTTTACAAATACATTGGGTGCTATCTGTGTATGTTCATATATTCATCTGTGCCTGTATGTGTGGCTGTACATTTGATGTATAGCCTCGGGTGGTGTGTGTGTCGCGGGTGTTATCGCTACTATTGGCCACCGAACAGTGTCGCAAGCATCTGTGCACGATGCAGATGCACTGCATCTTGACGGTGTTGTGCATGAACGTCATTGTATATCGATCTTATTGAACGATTGGCATCTATATTTATATACGCCAAAGCGAACATTCCCTGTCTTTGTCTACATCTTCATGCGCGCCTTTACACGGGTCTGTATGTACTAGCCATAGTCGTCTGGTAGACTACTTTCATCTCGTCAGAGTTCTCCTACCTATTGTCACAACGCTTTGCGTCGATGCATGGGTTTCCCATCGTTCGTCAACTCTTTCTCACTTAAAACGTATATCCGTTCGGTTCGGTATCTTCAATCGTCTTATCCGTTGTCCCCGTTCACTTGTTCCACAAATATGTATACTCCCACTCCTCTCACCCCCACGCCTTGCCCGTCTCTGGCCACAGATGACACCTGGGGTTTACAGTTTGAACAGAGGGGCGGGGTAGTTCTCCTGTACACCATGATGCACACTGTGTGCGGATGGACCGCGCGAGCGCAACAGACACACACACCCGACACCACACCCACCCATGAGCACATGGACGTGACAAGCAGGCCGACAGACGCCCAAACCCAGACCGAAGTTCGGAACCTACAGTTGCGTGAGAGTATTGCCGTGCAGTTGTTTGAGCGGCTGCTGAAGATGCTGTACTACTTCACCACGTCGTGTATGCTAGTGAGCTCGGACCGCAGAGAAGTCGACTACCGGAATGGCCGGGATAGTGGTAGCGGGACGGGTGGGGTTGCAGGTGCACACGACGGCTTAGGTGCGCTACAGAGCGGGCGAGGAAAGCCACATACCCATGCGCATACATACTACCAGTCATTCCGGACACTGTCACTGCTGACGCGAGAAATTGATAGGTATGTTACAATTAAACTTCTACTTCATTCATAAATATATGTATATATATATATATATATATATATATATATATATATATATATATATATATATATATATATATATATATATATATATATATATATATATATATATATATATATATATATATATATAGATATAGATATAGATATAGATATAGATATAGATATATATAGATACACACGCACACATACACGCACACATATATATATGTATATATGTTTACACATATATATATATATATATATATATATATATATTTTTATACAAATATACAAATATACATATATCTCTACATGTATATGTATATTTCTATATTTCTATATTTCTATATTTCTATATTTCTATATATGTATA